ACAGTTTATCATCGCTCTCCTGAACAGCTTTAAGTGACTGTCTCCTGTTGTTTAGATGTCTTATGAGTGTCACCTCATTTCCTATATTACCTTTACCCTGTGCTGGCCCGGGTGCTGAACTCGGAAGTGCCTAACTACTCCCCTACCTAGATTACCCCTTAGCTGTTAGGCTGAAGGGATTTAAATTAGAGACTTAGTTTTCCCCTTCTTTTTCCTTTGTTTTTGCTTGCTCTTGTACACCTTTGACTCTTACTTGTCCCCTCTTTTTTTCTTCCTTGCTTTGTTTCTACTAGTCCACTTTTCTTTCCTTGCTCTCTCTGGCCCTCCTCTTCTTTTCTTCTCTTTCATCTTGCTCTCCTCTTTTCCTCTTCCCTTCGCCTGGGTTTTGGGGTCCTCCCCGATTGCTCTATTCCCTGCTCTCATCATGACCCTCAAAATGGTCTCCTGGAATGTGTGAGATTTAAATGTACGGACAAAGCGCTCTATGCTCTTAGGAGGACTGTGGAGACATAGAGCCCATTTAGCTTTTCTTCAAGAGACACATTTTAGAGCGGATGGTGTCCCTAACCTTCTAAACCACTGTTTGCCCACGGTGTACCATAATCTTTTTCCATCTTCAAAATCAAAGGGGGTCAGTATACTCCTATCTAAATCAGTACCCTGGCAATTGTTGGACCAATACCCTGATCAGGAGGGCAGATATTTATTTTTGAAAGGCAAGATTCAGTCTCAGGTTTTAACCCTTGCAAATGTTTTTCTGCCTAATTTTAACCAGATTTCTTTTTTAAAATTTCTCCTGGTCAGATTGGAGGAGTTTACAGAGGGTTTGCTGGTTTTCGCTGGCGATTTCAATTTGGTCCTGGACCCCACAAATGACTCTTCGATAGGCACTTCTCACACGTCTCTTGCTGTGTGCAACCCACTCCGTAAGACCTTGCACAACTTCTAGTTACTTCATGTGTGGATAGTGTTTCACCCCAGAGAGCGTGATTTTACCTATTATTCTGTGGTTCATAATTCTTATTCGCGCATTGATTTCTTTTTGCTCAAACATGTGATGTCTTATATTTCTGGTACAGAGATAGATCAAATTACTCTCTTGGACCATGCCCCTACCACTCTGTCGATTTAACATGTCTCCAGGGACTGTTTGTCCACCTTTATGGAGATTCAATTAATCTCTGATCCAGGGGCTCGGTTGAGAACCCATTGATGGTTTGGGCAATGCATAAGTGCTACATCTGTGGTGTACTTATCAAACATGGCCACCAGGCTGGCCACTACTATTGACTTACTGGCTCATATTCACCAGTTAGAGCTGGTCCATAAGAGTATGCACTCTTGGGAGATAGCCCAAGAGTTGGCCCAATTTAGAGAATGCTTTAGGTCTTACTCGCTTTACAAAGTCGAACGGGCTGTTATGTGCACCTGTCGAATACGGCAACAAGTGTGGCAGGCTTTTGGCTAACGAACTTAGGACACAAAGGACTCAAAACTACATCCCAGCTATTTCCTCTCCTAAGGGGGGAGGGGAAAACTCTATACTACTTCAGCTATAGCTGACACATTTCAAACATTTTAATATAGATAACTTGCACCCCTGGAGTCGGAAGACATATGGTCCTCTCGTGATGCGGCTATAGATAATTACCTGGAAGCATCGGGTCTTCCTACTCTTGACAGTAGAGGAAATCGAGTCTCTCTCCTCTCCTTTGACAGCATAGGAACTTTCCATGGCCTTATCTGCTACACCGAGTAGGAAGACCCCAGGACCCGACTGCCTGCCAGCTTCTTATTACAAGTCCTTCCTCCCGCAATTGCCCTCACATTTTTTGGACGCTTTCAATGCTCTTGTGCAGGGCTTCCCACTGCCAGTGGAACTCTTGTCGGCTTCAATATCTGTTTTACCTAAGCCAGACAAGGACCCTTCACACTGTGCCAACTACAGGCTGATTTTGCTTCCAAGCAGTGATCTCAAATTACTTACACAATTTCTGGCCTTACGTCTTACCCCTATCCTATAATGAATTGTTCATGTGGATCAAGCTGTTTTTTTGCCACATTGTGAGAACCGGGACAACACTATACGTACCATTGATCTAATTCATCGGGCCACGGTACTGGGGACTCCCATGATGCCAATGTCCACAAACTCAGAAAAAGCATTTGACAGGGTGTCATGGGATTTTCTTCGCCGGGTGCTCTCGCATGTGGGCCTCCCTGTGCAATTGCAGATGTGGATTGGGGCTTTGTATTGTTCGGCGACGGTTAGCCCTCATTCACACTGTAATCGGCCTGCACGCACATTTGCGTGCAGGGCTGTACTAAGCAGCTCCCAGGAAGGACAGGTGCTGCGTGCCCCATCCTTCTCTATGGGACCACATGGCCGTACACCCCCCCACGCTCACTAACCCTGCATGTCCGTGCGGGTAAGCGTACTTGTACGCTGCCAGGATGGATCCTGTCAGCGTCCAAGCCGGAAAACACGCACCCCTACAGACCTGCACTCAATGTGATCGTAGGGGGGCGTACAGCCACATAATCCCATAGAGAAGGACGGGGGCTGCGTACTAATCACATGCAGCACCTGTCCTTCCCGGAAGCTGCTTGGTACGGCCCTGCGCGGAGCTACACGTGCGGGCCGATTACAGTGTGAATGAGGGCTAAGGGTTAATATGCCATAATGCCTCCCCTTTTTCTATTTATGAATGGCACACGTCAGGGTTGCCCTCTCCCCCATACAGCCATTTATATGTCATGTGCGGAGGAATCCGTGTATTAAGGGGCTAAGAGTAGGGGGGACCCACCACAAACTGGCGGCATAATGCTGATGACCTCCTTTTCTACATAGCCAGACCACACACGTCCTTACCAAGTCTACTCTTTGAGTTGCAGACTTTTGCCTCCCTTTCCAACTTTAAAGTTAACTTACAAAAATCGGAAGCGATGTGTGTATCCTTGACTACTCCAATCTAATTTCACCTTTAAATGGGCAACTCAGGCCATACGTTATCTGGGTACGTTTATTCCATCAGATCTTGCCCATATAATCACACTTTATTTTATCCCGTTTCTGCATTCTATGCGCACAGATTTACAACAATGGAAGACTTTGACATTTTCGTGGTTTGGACGTTGCAATGTTTTGAAAATGAATGTAATGCCCCACTTTTTGTATCTTTTCCAAACCTTGCCTTTCACAATTGGAGGGCGAACAGACTAGATGTTGCCTACCACTTTCTTCATGATGGGCGTTGGAAAGAAGTCTCTACAGTCACAAAGGAATTCCAGGTTCCTAGTCATGACCCCTGGCGACCTTTACGATTCTCATACTTTTTGAGATCCCTACATCATGCTGATCTGTTCCATAGACCACGTACTTCGTTCGAGGAGTTATGTGGGAGTGGGTGCTTGGTCCGAGGGACGCTCTCATTGGCCTATAAATTGCTATTGAATATTTTATATGTTTCAGGACTTACCCTTCCTTCATAAATGGGAGACATATCTCCAAACCATGTTCTCCAACTCACAGCTTGACTGGATTGTGTTCTTTGCTCATAAAGTATCCATATGTAACAGATATCAGGAGACGACTTATAAGATCATGACCCGCTGACCTCTCAAAATTATATACACAACAATTGGATCCCTGTTGGCACTATCAGAGTCACACAGGCACCTTATTGCATATTTTTTGGGAGTGTCCAAAAATTCGTCCTTTCTGGAACCGGGTTCTAGGGGTGGTCCACCAATTGACGGGCTTCTCTTGAATTTAACTCCACTGTCCAGGAAGAGGTATAAGAAATTGCTTCTTCGGCACTTGCTGAGTGCGGCTTGAACCTGCATCCCTACTATTTGGAAGCAATCTGCTTCCCCGACGACAGTTCAATGGCGAAACAGGGTGTCTGAGATGGAAAACCTGACTGCAGCTTTGAGGGACAGAACAGATACCTTTTCCCAAGCCTGGTTTTACTGGGATCGGTTTGTTGATTCCTTTGAGTACAGGGAACTGCGGTGAAAGAGTATGGTGGAGGAGGTGCATCTTGCTCCTAGACGAGGGTTCTCTCTCTCTCTCCGTCCACTTCTCCCTCTCTCTCTCTCTCTCCGTCCACTTCTCCTCTCTCTCTCTCTGTCCACTTCTCCTCTCTCTCTCTCTCTCTCTCTCTCTCTCTCTCTCTCACTTCTCCTCTCTCTCTCTCTCTCTCTCTCTCTCTCTCTCTCTCTCTCTCTCTCTCTCCGTCCACTTCTCCTCTCTCTCTCTCTCTCTGTCCACTTCTCCTCTCTCTCTCTCCGTCCACTTCTCCTCCCTCTCCCCCCCTTAAACGTATTTCCCCTTCCTTTATCTCTTTTGGTTTCCCGTAATTGTACACTCTTACAAAAGTCTAAAAAATGTTTCGCTAATCACTGCACAGGGTTTTGGATTTATTAATGTTTTTTTGGGGGTGCAGGAGGATTTGTACTGTATCTTTGTTTCCTGCTGTCTGTGGACTATCAGAAATGTACTATAATTATATGTTACGCCTCTGGAAGCTGTATTTTAGCTTCCAGAGGTGTAACATATAATTTAGCTTTAGGTGCTTATTCATTGATGAATTTGTTAAATAAATAATTTGGAAAAAAAAATAACATTGCCTGCATTCCGATCCACTGCGAACACAAAAAATAAAGCATGCAACATGTTTTTTGCTTTCGGAACGGAACACAGGCAATGTTTTGTCACGTGTCTGATCGCACTGCGGGCCATTGACTTCAATGCACTGTCACACCCCCTCCCGCTCCAGAACAAAGGGGGAAGTTTAGTGTGCGATTGTAGCAGCTACCACTCTGGAACGCACCTCAATTGGTGTGAACAAGCCCTAAAAATTTAAAACAGCTGCCCTGCTCTGCACATTAAGACCAAAATGTGAATCACTTTTGCTGTCCACACTGATTGTATATCTTCTGTATTATTTAAACAAATATCTATCATTTGCTACATTTTTTTCCATTTTTTTTTTTAGGTCCTCAGACCAGGAGTTCTGTGGTTTCTAAGAAATTTGAATGATCCAGATTTTAACCCAGTCCAAGAAATGATTCATTTGCCAATTTATAGACATCTCAGGAGGTTTATCTTATCAGTGGTAAAGTTACAATTATGATTTTTACACAATGTCAAGTGTAAAGTGCTAATTTCTCAGTCTTTTTTTTTTTTTTTATGGTGCTCTGTTTAAAGAGGATTTTTTAATGGAACTAAAGTGCTAAAGCTTACTAGTAAGTAAGAAGCTTTCACCAAAGGTACTTATATATACCTTTTTCATCTTCCTGTGCTCTTGGAAGTCCTGCACGTGGCATCACCCATCTGTGACATCAGACCGTTCTCCTGTATCTCGCGGTACAATTAACTGAGCCTCACCAAGCAAATAGAAAGGCATGGAATGCTGTGCCAGAGGTTTGACTTTTAAGCTCAAAGCTAATATTGGCATTTTCATCTAACTGGTTCTTGGGTATCCTACTGAACTATGGAAGATATATAATAGTATATGCAGCTATGGCTCCCTGGCTGTTCTTTATTTATAATGCAGCTTTTAGCACATTATTCCTGTTACTGGTCACTTTGATAAAGAGTAGATAGTGTAGCTTCAGATTAGATAAATCTCTCTCACAATTTCTTGATGACAAGATGCAAAGTGTTTTACGTGGTGCTTATTTCTAAACATAATTTTATTTTGTTTAATTGCATATTGTGTTTATTTATCCTCTTGAAATGAAGCCTAACATACAAAATATGTATCGAAAAAAAGTGATTGTGAGTGACCAACGTATCTCATATTGTGTGCCACCATGTACCACCTGTGTACTAGCCTTTATTTTCAGGCTGTTTTTCCCCAGTTCTGTGATAGTTTGACAACTTAGTCATCTCTGTACCCAAATGACATTATATATATATATACACACACACACACACACACACACACACACTGAGTGGCCAGATTATTATGGCCACCCCATCAGTACTTCGGTGGGCCACAGTTTGCCTTCAATACTGTGGCGATTCTTCCTGGCATTGTCTGAGATGGAAAACCTGACAAGATGTGGAAAGGTGATGCGAGAAATCTGACACCATGCCTGATGAATAGCACTGTCCAGTTCTGTGAGATTTGATGGTTGTGGAACCAGCTGCCTGATGGCTCTTTCAAATTCGTCCCACAAATTCTCAATTGGATTGAGATCTGGTGATTGTGGGGGCCACCTAAGCAAGGTAAATTCTCCATGTTCTTGAAACCACTCCTGCACAATACAAGCAACTTGGCATGGCATAATTTGCCTACAAACGTTAGGTGGCCATAATAATCTGGCCACTCAGCGTGACTGTAGGCAAATTAGCTATAATTTGGCTCTGAAGTTGCTAGAGGGCCAGACCATTATAAATTAATAGTAGAAGTGATTTTTTTAGTAGTAGAAGCACGACAGTAGAAGTGATTTTTTTTTTTAAGATATGGGTAAACAAAGGTTTACAAGTAACTTGGTTTGAGAGCGTTTTGCAAGACAACCAAACATTTCTGAAAAAATTTGCCTTGATATACAAGCAATGTCTTGCAATAAGAGCAACATTTTGTAGAAAAGCACCACCCGAATAAGGCTGTAGCAGTGCGAGCGATTAGTCTTTTTAAGGACAATGCAATGTCACATTGGATGGATGCCTTGTTAAGGTTTCACGAAATGAAAAAGATTCCATTGAGCCGAGAGATAGCAGTGATTCCGTTAGTGATAGTGAAAGTCGTCTTACACAATAATCCTCCTCTCTCTTGTCCCCCTCACCCCAGCCACGAAGGTTACCAGAAATTGGTTTATTTTTCTTTATATTTTGTACAGTATTATATTACTGTATTGTATTCATTTTTATATGAATATTTTGGGTTGTGGAACGAATTATCTGAATTTCTATTATTTCCTATGGGGAAATTCGCTTTGATATACAAGCGCTTTGGATTACAAGCATGCTGCCGGAACGAATTATGCTCGTAAACCAAGGTATTACTATATATGCAAACGTTGTAGGCAGGTGTGAAAAATTGCTTTAAAGTAAACATGCTTTCAGAAATAAATGTGTTAATCGTTTTTTTTTTTTATCAAGTAACAAAATGGAAAGTAAATAAACAGAAGAGAAATGCAAATCAAATCAATATTTGGTGTTATCACCCTTTGCCTTTAAAACGGCATCAATTCTTCTAGGTACACTTGCACACAGTTTTTGAAGGAACTTGGCAGTTAGCTTGTTCCAAACATCTTGGAGAACTAACCACAGATCTTCTGTGAATGTAGGCTGCCTCAAATCCTTCTGTCTATTCATTTAATCCCAGACAGGCTCAATGAAGTTGATCATCACTTCCAGGACTCCTTGTTCTTCTTTTCGCTGAAAGATAGTTCTTAATGGCAATGGCTATATGTTTGGGGTCGTTGTCCTGCTGCAAAATAAATTTGGGGCCAATCACATGCCTCCCTGATGGTATAATGATTATGGATAAGCATCTGCTTGTATTTCTCAGCATTGAGGACACCATTGATCCTGACCAAATCTCCAACTCTATTTATTTGCAGAAATGCAGCCCCAGACTTGCAAGGAATCTCCACCATGCTTCACTGTTGCTGCAGACATTCATAATTGTACTGCTCTTCAGCCCTTTGGCGGACAAACTGTCTCCTGCTGCAGCCAAATATTTAAAATTTTCCCCCCATACTGTTTCTCCTCTGTGAGGAGAAACAGATATATTATTTTTTCTCTGCTCACTAGAGGGGAAGTCTAAAGTAAAAAAAAAAAAATAAATAGCTCTGGGCATAATTGTTGTTAGTGTCATTGTTAGTGTTAGGGTCAATGTTAACATCAATGTCAGTGTTAGCATCAGTGTCAGTATTAATGTCTGTGTGTTAAGGAAGGTTAAAAAAAAAGTGCATTATTGTTTCTGGAATATACTATATACTACAAAAAAACAAATATTGCACACATATGTAGTATCCCGATAAATATCAGAAGTAGGAGAATTTATTTTGTGTTTTCTTTTTGGTAGTGGATTACAATAACGGCAAGAAGGATACAGATACATTTTAAAAATATATATATATTTTTTTTTTCTATTTTGAGCTAGTTTTCCTTTGATAATAATAAAAAAACAGAAGATATCCAATACCATTTACCACCCAATGGTGGCCTGAACACAAGATATAATTTATCTGGATACACTAATTAGTATTTACTGACACAAGTTGCAAAAATGGGTTCAGGCATTAAGATTTGTTTTACCCTCTGCCACTAAGAAGTTAATAATCAAATAATGTCTATATATCTATAATGCCTATATTGTGTGAATTATTTTTTCCCAAAAAAAATGGGAGCATGCCTAAGTTCGTAATAAAGAAAAGCAACAAAAAAAAAAATATTTTACATTTTGACTCATCAGTCCAGAGCAGCTGCTGCCATTTTTCTGCACCCCAGTTCCTATGTTTTCACGCATAGTTGAGTCGCTTAACCTTGTTTCCATGTCCGAGATATGGCTTTTTGGCTGCAAGGCCGCATAAAAATGGTAGCCGGTGCTATGGACTGATGAGTCAACATTTTAAATATTTGGCTGTAGCAGGAGGCAGTTTGTTCGCGGAAGGGCTAGAGAGCAGTACACTTATGAGTGTCTGCAGCAACAGTGAAGCATGATGGGGGTTCCTTGCAAGATGTTTGGAACAACCTACCTGCCGAGTTCCTTCAAAAACTGTGTGCAAGTGTACCTAGAAGAATTGATGCTGTTTTGAAGGCAAAGGATGGTCACACTAAATATTGATTTCATTTGGATTCCTCTTCTGTTCATTTACTTTCCATTTTGTTAATTGATAAAAAATAAAATATTAACACTTTTAAAATATTTTTTTTCTAAACTTTAAAAACATGTTTAATATTTTATTTGTATTTCTTTTTTTTAATCTAGTATGTTTATTATTTTACTTTACTGGCTGGGGCTCTGGGGATATATCGGGGGTCTGAACAGACCCCTGATATTTTCCTTTTAAAATAGAAAAAGAGATTGAGGACACAGAGTCCTCAATCTCTCTTTCTGCAGCCCCTGTTATAAATGAACAGGCAGCCTCTAAACTAAGAGTTGCTGTTCATTCATAACATGTGGAGATGGTATGTTTACCATGTCCACAAACATGAATTAACAGAAGGTGATGTAGAGCACTTCCCATTCATTCATAATTGGGGACACAGTAAATATACTATGTCTTCGTTAATTTACAAGCAGTCAGCAATCGGCTGATCACTAACTTCTTGTACCCACTCTCCATCCTGACTTGCTGTCACACGAGGCAGAGCCGGCTGTGCGGGAGTAAAGCTTGGTCTCCTTTGACAGCTGATTCCTCCCCCGCACTGCCAGCACGGCCACCTGTGACAGCTCAGAGCTGTCTCCGCTCCCACACTGTTCTCCATTCTGATCTATCACGGGGACGGTGCAGGAGGAAAGCCCAGCCTCCTATGACACGTCGGCCTCTCACAGCGCTCTCCGCCTCCTGACAGTTTCTCTTATCCACGCTGGATGCTGCGCTTTGGCAGAATGGACACTGAGCAGCGCCGAGGGAGAGAAACAAGGCATGCATCGCAATTTTGGCTGAAAGATGGTACTTTTTGCCCAAAGTGCCATTTTCTCCCATAAAAAATGGGTATTTTGTTGTGTTTTGGGGCATTTAATTAAATTTTTCACTAAATATTGGGGTTTAATAAGGAGTTGCGCTAATATTGCGCAACATAAAAATTTGCAACTACCACCATTTTATTCTATAGGGTCTTGGCATTCAGAAAATATATAATGTTGGGGGGTTTTAAGTAATTTTCAGGCCTAAAATGTGGAATATAACATGGGTACAAAAAATGAAAAAAAGGCCTCATTCATGAAGGGGTTAATGGACAAAATTTTGGTGCATCCCTAATATATAGATATATGTAAACATAATTAATATACATACATAATACATATTATGTACACATCCCCGGTGACACCAAATGGTGGCCCCGCTCATCTGCGGTGACACTAAACAATTTCCAGTGACCTCAAACATCCCCGGTGACACCACACTTCTCCGTTGAAACCAATCCTTGTGT